CCAAAATCCAAACCAGGCCATCTAGCGGCTCCCCAAACCCACAGAACAAAGTCAAGTTTCACAGATAGACACTGTCCACCTCTGTCAGTCTCATTCCCCACACTCCCTGCCTCACAGCATGAGTCGAAAATAACTCTCAGCCCCTCAAACAGTCTGTGTGAATTCATTTATCTTCTTCTAAGGCTCAGAGGCATTCTGGGTGTTGTTGGGTTAGTGTTTGTCTATGAGTGCATGGGGCCTGCAATCCTTACTCGTTATTGAACTAATATTTATCACTTGCAACTTTTTTCTTTCCTTAAATGGGACTTCCCTTTAAGGAATGAAGTCACAGCAGGTTCCAATAACATGAGTCTCCAGGATTTTCTTAGCAACTTCTGTGCAGGGTCAGGTACACAATGTCTATTCTCACTCCTGGTTCGAATCTGTCTCTCGGCTTGCTTCTCCCCAGGTTCTGTGTCTGGTTGTTCTCACATACCAATGCCCTAACCAAAGGCATATTTTCATTTAAAAAATAGTCCTTCATACCACAGTCTCTACATCTCTGACCAGAGTCTACTGTGTGCCTGGAGAAAGGTTTGGAATGGTGGCCCAGCGCCATCCACTTCCACCTCTCCTCCCAGAGTTGAACAGACAGGTCACAAGAATACATTAACTTTGGATAAGAGAGCTTTGAGAAATGCTGTGAGGAAACTACTCATTCTCTCCAGAAGGGAACTCTCGTGGTCATGTGACCACATTTTGAGAATCATTCATTTCTAAAGAATTCTTAGGAATGGTGGCCAAGCAGCACTGACTTCATCTAACTCATTTCTTTTATTGCTCCTGTTGTTGTTGTTGTTGTTGTTGTTTGGTTTGTTTGTTTTGGAGTGTTTGGTTTTTTTTTTCTTTTTGTTTTTCTGTAAAATAAAGTTAATAGCATGAGTCACCAAACTGGCTCCGAGGAAAGAGAATTAATGAGGAATGCTAACCCAAGGCTTGTAACGCACTGATGAAACATAACGAAAAATGCAAGATGAGATCACGTCCTTGTGGGTGAACTAAAAAGGTACAGTTTTTCCACTTGGCCTTTTCTTTTCAGATGTGTGAGCACCACCTTCTGGGGTATCTGTCCAGCTAACAGTGGCCCTTTTACTGAGGCCCCTGATGAGATTTATAGGGTTGGGCTCCTGGCAAGCAAGTTTATGGGACATCATTCTGACTCTCATTTCCCACTCCACAGGAATCTCTTTATTTCCTTACATGCCCCAAGCACCTACCACAGTGCCTGGGACACAGGAAGTGTTCAGTCAATATTTGCTGAGCTAACGGGCCCCGGGTGGAGACTAATGGAGGGCTTCCTCCTGTGCTTGGGGACGGAACTGGATTGTGTGGCTCCAGCGCTGTGGGCAGCCTCACTCCATCAGGGAGACTGAGGAGCTGGGACGGTGAAGACGGGGCTTGGAGAGATCTGGAGAGCGAGGACGTGGGCTGCCTCCCACGGAATCTCTACTTCCTGCTCTCAGGCCTTTCCAAGCTGCAAACTCCTGTCTTTAAATAAATTCCTTTGTCAGTGCTTCAACTAGTTCCAGGGTGTTAGCATAAGGCAACATAGAAAACTTGGAAGTTGACAAGGCAAAAGTCTGGGTATGATTAACAGGAAAATGGGTCATTCATTACCACAGGCGCCGGAGCTGAGTGGGTTGTGAGTTCTGGGAAATTCTTGGTGGGCTAGGACAGCCTGCTCCTTCTTCTGCCACCTGTCCAACCTCACAGGTGTGTTCTGGCAGTGACCAGTGACATAAGGACATAGCATAACACAGTTGGAGCATGAGATGGTTAACCAATTAAACCCATGTTCCTACAGAGATATTTGATAATGTCATATAGGAAATATTACAGAGCCCATACTGGCATTCTGAAAGCTTGGCCTCAAGTGGAACCATTTTTTCCCCCCTCTCACCACAAAGTAGAAGCAAATAAACACCATTTCTCAGCACCATAGCTCCATGGAGACACTAAGATCCACTTGGGACAGAGAGCAGGACAAGAAGCTGCAATACTGCCCATTCAGATGGGGGTCCTGCTACTGAGTGATGGGTGGCTAGCCACTCTGCAGACGTTATCAGAGTGGAGAGCATTTCCTAAGTTCTGTGCAGCGGATAATAAAATTATAGAGAGGTAACTGATGGAGTTCTGCGTATTTCAACGCTGAACTGTGAGCCCTTACAAGACGACGCATGGTTTTCTGTAGTTACTATTAGATATGCCACTGGGAGGAAGCACATACTGGTGTGGAACACAAAGAATTCTGGTGACAAAAGAGCATTTCAGACAGAATAAGAAGCAAGACATTTCCCTTAGCCCCCACTCAGAATATCACCAATACTAACGGGGAGCCCCATTAGCAGTGGGCTTTGCTAAGTTCTGCCCAGTAAGCAGCCGTCCAGGGCTTCCGCAGTGGGGGTTGGGGGAGGTTTCAGCTCTCTCCCTGGCGCCTGTCTGCTGAGGTGATGCTATGGCTGTCCAGCCTGTCTACGCCACACGGGTCCAAACTACTAGTAAAGGAGCAGCTTCCCGCAAGCAGAGGGAAGAGAGAATTACAGAACCACACCCTGACTTTTAAAGCTTCTGCTCACTGTGGCCCCACCACTTCCCGCCACATTGCATTGGTCAAAAGTCACATGGCCAAGACAGCCTGCAAGGGGCAGGAAGTTCCGTCTCCCAGGGACATCCACCAGGGTGGGGCCCTTCAGGAGGGGCAGTGAATCATCGTTCGACAATAATAAAGTACAGTGGGGATTAGGCATGTTTCCAGAAATGCACTATTAATGGCAGTCCAACCTCTATAATTATGTTTAATAGCATAGGTGAACAGCGTATGGTCTCAATCCATAATGCGAGCTAAGTTGTTTCTAATTACTCTTTTTGTGCTCCCCAAAATGTGGACATGAAAGACTCCTTCAGGTATGAATAAAAACCACTGCGTGGACCAGATGAACCCCAACTGGCCCTGCAGGCAGGCGTATGACAGCAGGAAGATGTCTCAGTGGGGTCTCTCAGAGGCGCTGTTTTCAAAGCGTGGTTCACGTTCCTGGATGGCCTGTAATGCAGGTTTAACATGCACAATTCTGGACTGCATTCTAGATATATTAAATCTGAGCAGCCAACTCGGGGCCGGGGAACCTGCATTTACCCAGCATTCCAGGTGATTCTGATGCGAACAGACCATTGAGAATTGCCACCTCAAAGAACCTGCCCCCTCCCCCTGGCTGATTTCTGTCGGGGAGCGTTACTCTGGCCACCAAGCCATCAGTCGCTGTCCTGGTGCACATCTAGCCAGGACTTGGACTTTCCTGGGAAGTCAGGGAGAAGGAGGTGCTTTATATGGAATGGTTTCTGGTGAGGGTCTCACTACCCTTCCTTCAAATATATAGTTCACTATTTCAGCTTATATAGTTCACTATTTTCCTCATAAATCAACATCTGTGAATCATTTTGTTAGTTGTCTATTTTTAGAAATGAAATGAGACTACATCGAACAATGTTTCTTATAAAAAATCCTCTTATAATAGTCACAATTTTAACTGCTTTTTTTTTTTTTTTTTGGCAATATACATTTGGGACAAAATCTGTGATGAAAGCTTAACTGTAAGTTTCCAAACCTTATTTTTGGGAGGTTTGCCTGTTGTTAAATATTTCAGTTATTAATCCCCAAAGTAAAAGATAGAACTTACTATTTTAAATATCCTCATTCAAGAATATTTTTCCATTGCTTTTTAAAAAAGAGTGGGAGGGAGGGAAGGAGGGGGGTAGAGAGAGAAACATCGATGTGAGAGAGACACACTGATTGGTTGCCTCCTGCATGACCCCTGACTGGGGTCTGCGATCTAACCTGAAAGCCAGGTAAGTGCCCTTGACCAGGAATCAAACCTGCAACCCTTTGGTGTGAGGGCCAATGTTCTGATAGCTGAACCACACCGGCCAGGGTTAAAATATAGAATTTAGAAGTTTCTATTCTAAGTGGGCTTTGCCTATGACTTCCCAGGGCTGCTTTAAAGAGGAGGGCAGTGCTCCCTGTGGGACGGTTCCCTTTGGGTGCTGTTGCAATGACCCCTGCTGCTGCCTGGTTGGCAATTCAATACTTAGGCCTCCACCTGGAAGTGGCGCCTGCGCCGGGGTAGCACCTGGTGACACCGCTGCCCAGGGGCTGTCTGCTCCCTTTAGGGCAGTTTGGCTGCAAGGAGCTCTGTCTGGCTGCTGCCTCCCCGTGGGCTCTAAGACCATCACTGTTCAGGAAGAGAAGATATTTAGCTTCAAGCTCTTCCAAAGGCTGCTCTGTTGTCATGTAGTAATTACTTCCTAGATGTGATTGGGCAAGAGAGTTCCTGACGTTAAGGTCTCAAATGTCATTCCGAGTTATTTCTGTCTCTCTGAAGGGATGTCTATAGTCAGAGTGAAGAGATAATTTACTACAAAATACAGTAGAAAGGAAGGAGGGGAGAGAGGGAAAGAAAGAAAAAGAAGAGGTGGCAGAGGAAAGACTTTCTTTGTATTCATTGAATACCTTATCGAATACACTCAATACCAAACAAATGCATCCCAATGATTTCTAAAAATTCCATTTTAAAGGCCCTTCTATTCAGGGTAATGGCAGGAATAAAGGCAGAAGTGCTACCCAAGCATTAGTGGCTGTTTTTTTACACACCTCTTTAGTCCATGAGTATATTATTAAATGATAGAGAATATTTAATCCACCCATTTCTATAAAACTAGGTAATAAATTTCTAAGACAGGGAGATTTTATAGACCCCCATCTTTTATACCCAGTCCCAACAAAGGAGGAGGAGGAAGGAAGGAAGGAAGGAAGGAAGGAAGGAAGGAAGGAAGGAAAGAAGGAAGGAAAGAAGGAAGGAAGGAAGGAAGGAAGGAAGGAAGGAAGGAAGGAAGGAAGGAAGGAAGGAAGGAAGGAAGGAAAGAAGGAAGGAAAGAAGGAAGGGGAAAGGAAGGAGGAAGGGAGGGAGGGAGGAGAATTTCTGCTTTGTCCTCTTTGCCTCCACATTGCTTCCTCTGGTGCTGACGGCCTCAGAGCTCCTCTCAGCTGAATCCAAACATTCACCTTTCTGTTCCTCCAGATGGGCTCTCTTCCCTGTGGTTCCTAAATTCTTCGAGTTGAGCACAGCCAGATACATGTCCTAAGATGAAAACCAGCATGCCTAAGGAACTTCGGGTCTCCAGGAGGTTGGCACAGAGAAGGAGAGGGGCAGCCTGCAGTCTGAGCTCAAACATCGCTGTCAGGAAACTGTCGGAGGCTCTCACTGCACAGGATCTGCGCCTCTGACACTGACCGCGAACCAGCGGCTCATCAGCCGGGCAGCATGGCAGCCTGCGAGTGGCAGTCACCGTTCCAACTTAGGGCACTGTTTTATATTCAGCTAATGTAGACTTCGTGTAGTTGCTTGGGATTAGGATGCTTCAATATTGCCTCATAAAAATATTCCATTCTGGTTCTAGGGCCGAGATTCAGTTCAGAAAAGCTGCAAGGTTTTTAGCCGCCAGCTTCTCCCGCATTCCTGTTTTTGTCTGTAGTTTCTAAAGACTAGTAAGTAGACATGGCACTTTACAAATACACAAAGACAAGGGTCTGGCCTTCGGTCAGGAAAACACAACCCAAATGAAAATAATCCAAGCAGAAGCAGTAACAGACAGTTTGGGGAAGGCGGGGGCAGGGAGCAGGCATTGGCTTTGGAAAGTGAAGTTTAATGTATTTCTGTTTTTGTTTTTGTTTTGAAATGGGAGAGATTTGAAGGGAGAAGGACAGCCAAGTCCCTCTGTGTTTAATCTACAGTCTCTGGTCCCCAGAGGTCACTCAATTCAAGAGCAAAGTTATTCAAACTTATCCCTCCCTCCCTCTCCCCCAAAGAAGAAACTGCTTTCTACGGCAGACGGCTCTTTTTTTCCATGGCTTTGTGGCTGACCTCAGCTCCCCAGACAAGTGTAGGCTTAAATAAGATAATTGCTTCCCAAGGCATCGAGCCTTGCTTGCAGGAAATCTTGAACACAGAGCACACCTCTTTGGGGAGGAGGCCACACCGGAAGTCACATCCCTAATTGTTTGTTTTATTTGCCTTCATCAGAAAGCGCTGCTGGCTGCACCAAGAAAAAGCCAGGCATTGAACTTCCTAGAAACAAACCAGCTACCAGGCGCTGTGGCATAGTCAGTTAATCCAAGACACATTCTTATGCAAACCTCAAGTTATAACCCACATGTGGTGGCAGATCATTATCCCAAGACTAAATTGAACCAGTTATATAGTTGGAGGTGGATCTATCATAAGCTGGAAAACTTTTCTTTTTTTACTGGCCTCTTTTAACAAGTGTAGGAAGGAAATAAAACTCAAAAAGCATAAACTATTTTACATCTTGAACTGAACTTTGATAAAAATGGAAATACTCCAAAAATAAAGAAATATTGGCAAACAAAGAGGGAAAGATGCAAACAGAAATAGAGAAGGAAAATGTGGAAATTAAATGGGTCTGGTACTGCTTTGACATTTCCTGATTTAGTTAATGAAAAAGGCAGGGTACACAATTACGTAGTGACATAATCCCTAAGGGGAGGAGAGACAGAGACAGAGACAGAGACAGAAGTCAAAGACTAAAATAAAATGGATCAGAATAGACTCATGATTATCCCTGGAAATTGAGATTATAAATAAATTTTGTTTCATTTTGGGGCCTTTTGTGTTATTTGTCTACAATGAGTCTGTTTTTCTTTAACATAAAAAAAAAACAAAACAAAAAAACAATGCAGCCAAAACCAGTTTGGCTCAGTGGACAGAGCGTTGGCCTGCAGACTGAAAGATCCCAGGTTTGATTCCGGTCAAGGGCATGTACCTTGGTTGTAGGCACATCCCTGGTTGGGGGTGTGCAGGAGGCAACTGATCTATGTCTCTCTCATTGATGTTTCTGACTCTCTATCCCTCTCCCTTGCTCTCTGTAAAAAAATCAATAAAATATATATTTTTCAAAAAGTGATAGATACAATTTTTAAAAATTCTGATTCAAAATGCAATGATCTTTAACTCTGAGTCTGACCACATGAGCCCATTGACCTCAGGGTTGTTAGAGGTGGAGTGTCTGTGTGTGCTGGTGCAGCCCAGCCCAGGAGCACACACACACTCCCACACATTCTGCATACGACGGACGCACAGATAGGTGTAAAGACCTCTTCAGCCTAAACATACTGTCACAGTCCCAATGCCCAGGCTACAGTAACAGCTGACAACATGAAGCGTTCTTTAGTGCTGACCTATTGCACAGTGTTACCATTACTAGCAGTGGACACTGTTGGCAAAGTCAGTTCCAGTTGTCAGTGAGGTTTGCTTTCCACCTTGTGGGTGGGACCTAACGTGAGCCTAACGCAGTGGAAGCTGCTGGGTCGTGGAGAGGTCAGGCACACCCTAGCTGCCCACTTTAACCACAGAGGTTGTTTCAGGAGCCAGGATCTCTCCAATCTGGGCCATTTCAGTGCTGGGGAGAACGGGAGCTGGGGGAGCCTGCAGGAGCTTGCTCAGGGCACTGGTTCACTAGCACCGCTGTGCTGCACAGTGTTTCCTCGGCCGCCCTTTTTGCTTCCTTGGCGTTTGTCCTTTGGATCACTTTATGGGTGAAGGGTCCCCTCGAAGACAGACCCCAGAGAGTTGTCTCAGCCCACAGCTTAAAACTATTCACCCCCAGTTGTTCCTCTCCTTAAGAATCCTTGCATTAGAGGTTTTAGGTGACTAAAATCACAGAAATGTAAATGCCTGAAATAGGGCTGTGAGCCATCAGTGCTTCGGGCCTGAGCATAAACCCACTGCTCAGACAGCTTCCCTTCTAAGACCCAGTCAGCTAGCATGGGAAATGGACATGTTGATAAGCTATAAAGGGAGCTAAGGGGCATGTTCGGATAGAAGGATGCATGTAGCTTGAAGATGAAGGCAGCAGGTGGCACTTGGACTCTGGGGCTAAGTCCTCCACCTGCTGGAACCCACTGCTTCCCAGCAACCTCACTTTGGCTTCTTCCCTCTCTCTCTCCAGCATCTTCAACCTCTCTCCCTGGCTCCTCCAATCGGTTTTGCCACCTGAACAAACATAAATTACTCTCCCTAAACCACGCCCCACTCCGGCTTTGCCCTTTCTCAGCCTAGACTTGCAGGAAGAGTTGCCCGCACTCCTTACTTGCCATGTCCTCACCTTCCACTCCCTCCTCAACCTTTCCTTTCAGTTCCTTTCTATGGGACTGATCTTGCCCAAATTACTAGGGACATGCTGACAAAATGCAATGGAAACTTCAATTCCTGCCTTATGCGACCTCCCCAAAGCCCTTGACCTGGTGACCTCTCTCTGCTTTCTCAACTCTTCCTTGGCTTCTTTGGTCCTACTCTCCCTGGTCCCCTCTCACTATCCACATGCAGATAACTCCCATATTCAGACTTCCCTCCCCAGCTGCATGCCCCACACTCAACTGTCTACAGGATAAATTATATCTCACAGACATATCCATCAACATTTCCAAAACGGGAACCCATCACATCCTCCTCCCTCCCCACCACCAACCCAATGTCTTGTGCCCTGAGGACTTTGTCCATGCAGAGTCCTCTGCTTGGAGAGTGTTCTTCTTCCCCTCGACACTCTGACCCCTTCATCTGGCCGTTATTCAACCTCCAGGTCCCAGGTTAGATGTTGCTCCTTCTGGGAAACCTTCCTTTAACCCTCACGTCTGAGTTAGGTACTCCTATGATTTTGGAAGCTCTCACTCACTCGTAATTTTTTATTAAATCATCTGTCCTTCTCACTATAATATTTACTCCCTGAGGGCAGGGATCTTTCAGTCTTGTTCATTATATCCTTTGGCCCAGCATAATGTCTGGCACATAAAATGCTCAATAAAAACAGTCATTTGAAAAAAATAAAACAGCTCATTTACAACACTCAGGCAGCCAAGAAGGAAGGGGGGAGGGTGTTTCTTCCCCGGCCTAGCCACCCTTTCCCCATAGTCCCTGTTCATAAGATCAGGTGCCATCACCCAGTCCAGCACCCTTTACCCCACAATCAATCTAATCAGATGCTGTGTGGCCTGGTGACACCCATCCAGGCATTCTTTCCACCGTGTGTATAACATTTTTTTTCCCTCAGAGAAAAATATATTCTTAGTTCTTAACACTGATGTTCAAATAAGATTTTGCAATATATATATATATTTTTTAATGTTGAACACTATCTCTACCACATGTAAATGTGGATCACTCACCCCAAATACATTCACGGATGGTTCTTCCAAGTAAAACAAACAACGCTGCCACAGGATAATTCTTAAAAGCAATTTGGTTTATGTCTTAGTTTTTGTTTTTCTTTCTGGAATCTAACTTTGCTAAAGAAAAAAATGTTCAATTCCGATGGAGTCATTTAAAAAATGCATTTTTCAAGTTCCAAATGCTTAGTAGCTTTTCCTTTTGCTTTGGCTGGTTATGAAGATTTATGCATATCCTTTGGTGCTTTAATTAATGCTTGTGGCTAAATTATGAAAGAAAAAAAAAACATTTAAATACGTTTATATAACTGAGTCAGATGATTTCCCCAAATGAAGCCACAACACACAACACCTCAAACTGTAGACATCTGCTTGTCTCCATCAAAACGTTCGGTATGGGATTGGAAGAGCAAATTTGGAAACAGAGCTACAGTCACCACCATGTTGGCAAAGGTTAGCCTTGGACCCTTCTGCGGCCACTACCTCAAAGGATGGCAGCTGTTTATGAGATCCTGCGAAGTTGCAGCATACCTTTTTATTCCAGCGATGGGGACAAGGGGACATCATGGCGTCTCTGGCTAGAGAAAGGTGTTCACTGTGGGAATAATAAAAGACATGTAAAGAAAATGGACAGCTAGTGGCCGTGAATAGGTGCAATATTCTGGCTCTGTTTGCAATTGTTGGTTAAGACTTGCTCTTGGCATCACATGAGCACTCTTCCTCGAGGCAGAACTTTCAAAAAGCGCCTCCTCACACGGCTAGATAACCACGGCCTGTCAGCCCCAACTTTAGGATTGCTCTATGAGCATTTCCTGCTTCTCCTTCACGTTTCACGCTCATTGCACAAGGGCTTGCTCTTGACCTGGCCTTGCTTTGTATCTTCATTATGTCTCCGGCGTAGGTGATTGTGTAGAATATAGGTCAGAGGCTGGGCCCTGCCCTATCTCTCTGTGTCCTGGCGTTTCTCCATCCTATGGATCCTAATCGGAAGTTTCTCTACCCACTGATCAGGAAGGCACCCTCTTCCCCTTATCTTGTCAAGGAGTTTCTCTTCTTGTCTTTGGCACCCCCTGCATGGTGCTGAGGGTATATGAGTGTCCCATTAATTATTATTCTTTAAAATATATTTTTTATTGCTTTTTTACAGAGAGGAGGAGAGAGGGATAGAGAACTAGAAACATCGATGAGAGAGAAACATTGACCAGCTGTCCCTTGCACAACCCCTACGGGGATGTGCCCGCAACCAATGTATATGCCCTTGACCAGAATCGAACCTGGGACCTTTCAGTCTGCAGACCAACACTCTACCACTGAGCCAAACTGGTTTTGGCTCCCATTAATTATTAAGTCAGTGCTTCCCCGTGTTGTTTGGGGACCAGTGAGTTAGTCTCACTTGGAAGCTTATGAGAAATAAAAATTCTCAGGCCTACAGTAAACCTACTGAATCGGAGGCCCAGGAATCCATGTTGAAAAGCTCTCCAGGTGATGCCTACACAGTATGAGAACCACTGCCTCCACTGCCAGCTGTTTGAAGGCACAGCGATGGGAGATTATTTCTGCTCCTTCCAGTTCCCAGTGGAAGGGACTCAAACTCCCTGGCAGCAGGTGACAAGGCTCTCTGCCGGTGGTCCTAGACAGACAACTTTCTGAAATCATCAGCAAGGATTACAGACCAGCCTTTCCCGGCTGGAAGATTTCTCTTGAAAGTCCCAAAGCTTATCGTATTTTCCGGCGTATAAGACGACCCCCTAATTTTACAGTTAAAACATAGGTTTAGGCCTATATTCGCTGTATAAGACTACCCCCCACTTCTGAGGCAACGCCAGTTCTTTTTTTAATAGACCGTCTCTCTGACTCTGGCTTTTTACTAGAACACAGTGTACATGTTCTGTACCCGAAGCTACACTGTGTTCTAGTAAAAAGCCAGAGTCAGAGAGACGGTCTATTAAAAAAAGAACTGGCGTTGCCTCGGAAGTGGGGGGTAGTCTTATACAGCGAATATAGGCCTAAACCTATGTTTTAACTGTAAAATTAGGGGGTCGTCTTTTACGCCGGAAAATACGGTATGTCCTTTTCTCCCGTGGCCCCCTGCCATAACCACATTGCAGCAACCAGTCTGAGGTGCTCGTGATCTGGCAATGCCCATCCTTATCTTTGCCCAAATGTGGGTTCCTGAACCTCCAGCAGTTGAGAACAGACCCACACCCCCTTCCAAGGCTCAGCTCTGACATTGAACAAATCTCTACTGAGCACTTGATGGATGCCAAGGTTTCATGAACTGTCGCCATCCATCAAACTCCTCTGCCCACTGATGCCCGGTCCCTGTGGAATCCTGTCTTGCTGCTGCCTGACCCACAGGAGGACACTCAGTCGCCAAAACTTCGAAAGCAATAGCTGAAGCTCTTCAGCAGATTCTGCACTAAGCATTTTCAAACTGTAAAATGGCCATGTTAGAACACCTGCCTAGAAAATGAGGCCAAGCAGTATCTTACCGGCGTGAATCATGCATTTTGAAGGTAAATGAAGTTCAACTCTACGTTAAGCAATGAGTATAATAAGGCTATTTCGATTCCCCAACTTGAAGTTACTGGATAAAAGCAGTCAGGTCTATCTCTATGTCCAGTTTATTTCTGAAATGGTTGGTTGCAAAATATTGAGGGGGAAAAAATCCTCATTCTGGTAAGCAGTTGCGCATGGTAACCGTGTGCGTCTTTTCAGGATAACTTTCCTTGCAACCTGGGAAGTGTGTTATCCGAGGTTCTCTCACAGAGAGGTGTTTATAGGGCATCATAACGAACACTCTGGCGGTCTCCGGTGTGCTAAAGTTCAGCATAGGTAAGGTTTGATTGTGTCTGTTTTTTTATAGAGTTGGGAAATATTTTAATGCAATTTAATTCAAATATCTGTGGAAACTCTAAAAACCTTTGCCGCCCGCAGGGCTCTGCAGAGCACAGCAGTCGCTGCACAGAGAGACCAGGACAAGAGAGCGAAGTCACTTACTCAGGTTCCGCGGCTTTTGGGGGTCAGAGCGGCTGCATCACATGTCACCTGGCTCAGGGACTTTCTTCTGGGCTTCACATGGACATCTGAGCTCCCAGTCCAGATTCCAATGCCTTTCGCTCAGGGCCGAACCTTCCAGAGCGGGAGCTCTGTTTATCCTGCTTAAATGAGTTGCAGAGTGGAATTTCCCCAGAGCCATCTCTCATCTTCAGCAGGAGGGGGCCGAGCAGGAATGAAGATCCTGCTAAGTGGCTCTGCCTCTTCCAGGTGCCTGACCACGGCTGGCACCCGGTCCTCTTAGAATAACACGGCTCTCCTTCCAGCCTCTGGGGGCTGGCAGGTCCCACACTCCACTCAGCTCTTCTCTCATCGGCCCTGTCCCAGAAAGCACTGGCTCGCTTAGATGAACTGCATCTGGCTTGTGCTCTAGCTTGCCAGCAGAGAGATTCTTCTGCCAGGTTGCAGGGGGGGAGTGGAGAGGGGGGGCGGGGGAGATGGGGCAGAGGAAAGGCCAGGGGTTAAGGAAAAGCAAACCCATCCAGGCACCTCCAGATCACCTCAGACACCACGGGCTGCCTCTTGCAGACCCTTGTTCCTAGCCGCACACTGTGTGAGACCAGCTCCCGGAGAGGAAGCCATGACAGGGCGAGGGCAGCGGATTCTTGGAGAAAACAGAACTGCTCCAGTAGGGTTACTGCTCAATGCAGAGAGGTTGTGAAACCTCCCAGTATAGCTCCTCTCTCTCTCTTTAAAAAAAAAAAAAAATATATATATATATATATATATATATATATATATATATATATATATATATTTTATTTCAGAGAGGAAGGGGGAGAAAAAGAGATAGAAATATCACGGATGTGCCTTTGACTGGAAGCCAAACTGTGATGGATGCTCAATCCCCGAGCCACGCTAGTCAGGCCAGCTTGGACTCTCTTTGCTCCTCAGAGAACGGAGAACGGAGAACGGGCAGCAGCTCCTCCTGCAGAACGTGATGATGGGGTGTCTCCCTCTGCTCCAGCCAAAGCTCTGCCACCTCCACACAACCTCAGGCATTAGGTTTCCTGTGTGCCTGTCATTGGGGGAGAGAAATTCTGTCCCGCGGGCCCCAAACAGCTCACCCGATAAAGTCCCTCAGGTCTCCTAGCAACTTGCTGTACTTTGATTTTTCCAACTATTTTTGCAAGGTGGAATTTAATTTTTTAAAAATATGAGGGCCCTGTCAGTAAAAACGAGAGAGCTGGAACAGAGGTTCAGTTGACACTGATCCTTTTAACTGGCCCACTTTATGAGGAAAACGGGCCCAGGACTGACTTCCTGTTGGAATTAGAATCAAATGGATTGCTTTAATAGTTTTGTCTCTCAAAAAGAAAAGTCATCAATCTAAGAAGGCTGAGAGCTATTACATTCAGGCCTAACCTTCCTCACGTGGGGGTATTGCTGGCTGCTTCTCCAATAACCATTCTCTTACTCCTCGTGAGGAGAAATGGTTGGCGATGGGCTCAGGTGAAAGCACTTGTATCCTCAGACTCTCCTATACATGGGAGCAGGCCAGTTCTGGCCAAGGACATTTAAACAAAGCCTACAGGGTGGGGCTTCTGATGCAAATGCATAGATTCGGATAATATGGGAATCTGCACGCCCTTCTTTCTGTCTTATTCTCGGTTGGTATGCGAACATGATGGCTGGAGGCAGAGCAGTCACCTTGCAACCAGGAGGATAAACTTCTTACAGAAAGAATGATGCGCTAAGCAGCTCAAGGCTGGGGGTCCTTGATGACTTCCTTACACAGCTGTAACAGCCCTTGACTTCCCACCTCAAAACTTCCTCTCAGCTGAGCAAAATATAACCATTTGGTCAAGACTTTGTGTCTGAGCTTCTGTTAAAAGCAGCTAAATGCGATTCTAATGAATTCCCTTTCAAAACACAAACTTTACACCATCACTTAGGCCGGTGGTCAGCAAACTGCAGCTTGCGAGTCACATGCGGTTCTTTGGCTCCACGGCCTGGGCAAGTCTATTCTGAAGAAGTGGCATTAGAAGTTTAAGTTTAAAAAATTTGGCTCTCAAAAGAAATTTCAATCATTGTACTGTTTATATTTGGCTCTGTTGACTAATGAGTTTGCCGACCACTGACTTAGGCCAAGGAATGGTCAGAGCAGCTGGTAGGCAGAACAAGGCTCTCTTTTCTCATTGCGTAACATGAGGAAACTGGGGTAGTGGAAAGTATAAAGTGAGTAACTTTCCTCTTGCTGAGCCAAATTCTAGCTCTCAGCCCTTGACTTCCTGGACCTCTCAGCAGCATTTGAACCATTGGCTAATTCCTCCTCCTTAACATTTTCTCCTCCCCTTCTTCTGTCTTTTGACTTCTCCTTGCTTTCCCCTCGTCAGTTTGGCTTACTTTCTAGTCTCTCCTGGTCTCTCTTCTGCCTGCCCCTCACATGCCGCTGTCTCCCCAGGTCTTCCCTTCTCTCAGCATCCCACACTCTCTTGCAAGGCAATCTTATGTCTACCCATGGCATCCACTATCACTGCCTAGAATTGGACTAAAATGGCACCTACTGACATTGGGAAAGAAGTCTATCAGGTATTGCTAAGAGAACGAGAGCAGCTCACAGGGGAAGATGTGCTGCTTGATTCCTTTTCTGTAAAGGAATGTATGCTCAGAAAAGGTATCTAAAAGGCTATAAAACACTGTGTTAACAGTGGATGGGTGGTAGGATTTAAAATCCTTAACTCAAATGTAAAATTAACACTTTAATCCCTAAGGGTTGAGAGGACTATAATTTGCTTCCATGGATTTCCAGTCATTTCCAAAGTATTTTCCCATTTACACCCTATAGGTATTTTCTTGTCCTGTAGACAGTTGCTTATTTATTTATTTATTCAGTGAGTCTTTGTTGCAGGGCTGCTCTGTGCCAGGAGCATTGTTAAAACAAATCCCAAGTGCAAGGAGCTCTCATTTGAAATCAGCTGGGGGTGTACTATCGTTTAAATCAACAGAGAAAGGGCATCATTGGCATAGTCACGTGGAAGGGGTTTTCACAGTATGTGCTATGCAGCGGCTCCCCCTGGCATCTTTCCTGACTGAGCATCCCGCCCACGCTGAAGCCGGTTGCTCCTCTGTGGCCCCTAGAGACTTTCCTGGTCTGGGGGCTCGGCCCCCAGAACCTGCCAGCCCGTTTTCTCTGGGCGCTCTATGAGATGACATCCCCAGAAGGCCTGCCAGCTTTTCTGATGAACTCTAAGCACTCCAAAGCAAAAACTAGAAAAACAGCAAAACTATGCCATGCGCATGTAGGGGATTCCTGTTGTACAACCTTGTTGCTTTCAGAACCCTGACCTCTGACCATTACATTATTCTCTCTCCCCTTGTCCGGCTCCAATTCCATGAAGTTTACTCTTGCAAAAATCCTCGGATGATACAAGAGGACTCCTGTCTAACGTGCAGAACTGGATGTGCTGGGGAACAGGCTCCGCTCCTTTGCTTCCCCCACTACACCTGCTCCCTGCTCACCAGTGCGCTGGGCCTGTGCTTTCCTCTCCCCGCCTTTTCCCCTCGTGAGTGACCAATCCTGGGCTTGTTCTCCGGCTTCCGGCTTCGTCTCTCTCCACTGATTAACCTCTCTCTCTCCTTCAGCTGCTCTCCCTCTAAACTAGTTCTGCCTCATCAGCACTGAAACACACTAAAAGTCTCTTCCAATTGGGGACACACGCTGAATGGATCGATTGTGCCATAAATTTTGGATGAGGGCGTAGCTCCGTGCCATTCTGGCTGCATCTCGCCCATCGGAACAAGTGCTGGGCCTCGGGGGTTGTAGGCCATTAGCGGCTTGCTTTTGTACTGAACATCCTGCAGCATTTTATTCAATCCTAAGGTCTCCCTTCGGTTACTGCAGCAGACCCCGCCTTGGTGGGGACGCATTCTGGCTTCTCTGGAGAGGCCTGCGACCCTCCCGGTGCAGTGCTTTCCCCTCTGGCTCCTGAGCAGTTGCGGGATGGGCAGAACGGATGGCCATGGGAGCTGCTGGCAGCCTCCGTGTGCGGACAGCACTCAGTTACTCCATCCTTGAACACGGGTCGTTGGAACATGTTGGCTCCATACGCCATCCTTCAGCTGGGGGGTTGGTGTATCTAGTTTACTTTAAAGGAACTATTTAGTGTGTTCAATGGTTAGAGCACCAGGCAGAGGATTGAAGAGTCTCGATTCCCATGAAGGGCATATACTTTGGTTATAGGCTCAATCCCTGGCCCAGGTGGTGCATGTTTGGGAGGCAACCAATTGATATTTCTCTCTTTCTCTCTGTCTCTCCCCTTCCCTCCCACTCTTTCTAAAAATCAATGGCAAAAATAGCCTTAGGTAAGGATTAACAAAAAATAAATATATAAATGAGAGCCACAAATGTGTTTTTATGTCAAAAGAACTAGAATACATCCTTGGTGCCTAAGTGGGAAGCATTTAAAAAGCTGGCTGAAATTTTCATAAAAGGTACATATTTCCATTTTCTGAATATAGATGTCCATTAGCATTTTTATGGAATGAAAGGCTAATTTTTCACTTGAATCAGTATGAGGGAATTCTGATACATTTTCTCCCAAACCCCCTTCACTTACTTAGAAGGAGAGTGCAGGAGGGCTGGCCTTCATTGGTGACTGGTCAGGGTAAGGGCTCCTTCAGGTGGCCCTCTGGGGGCTCTCAGGTGGGCAGGAGTAAGAGCTGGGTTATAAGTTGGCCAAGCTGTCTTTGAAAATTCAACTCTTACATATAAAACTAGAAACTTATAACTCCGATGGGAGATATGATCCACCATCATCACCCAGTGTTACTAGTGTCTGAGGCTGAGGTAGCCATAGCGCGAGGGGCCGGCTTCCATGGGACTTTTTGTGAGTTTGGTTCCTGAGGTTGGCCTTACACTGGCTGGAGCACAGAGATGTTCCAAGGTGTTAGTGCTCATCCCTAGCTCCCCCCACGCCTGCAGTCCCCTACCCTCCTCCTCACTGTGCCAGGGCTCCTGGGCATCACACCCCTCCTCCCACTGAAGGATGCCAACCCTCCAAATCCTGCCTGAGCCGGGCTGCTAATGTGTTCAGTTGTTTTGAAAGTTAAAACACAACTCCAGGTCTGAGAAAACAATTAGCTTTGAAAGACACTAGGAGAGGCCCGAGAGAAGACCCCTGCAGTCTGTTACCGCTAGAGGTGACAGCTTTGGACAGCGTGCTTGTTTATCCATGTCTCAGGTGTGTGTGTGTGTGTGTGTCTGTGTGTGTGTGTGTGTGATCTTTCTGCCTTGCCAAGATGTGAGTGTGGGCTTTGTTGATAACAAGTGATTTTGACTTTGAGGGTATGGTATGTGCATAACCTCTAGTGTGTTTGTCCAGGTTGAAAGGACACACGTTGGTGTCTGGTCACACATATTATCTTGACCCTTTCC